TTTCCCCTCCCAACAAAGAAAAGCCCAGGACTAGATGGATTCACTGCTGAATTCTACCAGACATTTAAAGAAGAACTAATCCCATTTCTTCTCAAACTATTCAGAACAATCGAAAAAGAGGGAATCCTCCCAAATTCTTTCTATGAAGCCAGCATCACCTTAATCCCTAAACCAGAGAAAGATGCAGCACTGAAAGAAAATTACAGACCAATATCCCTGATGAACATAGACGCAAAAATCCTCAATAAAATTCTGGCCAATAGAATACAACAACACATCAGGAAAATCATCCACCCAGACCAAGTGGGATTCATCCCTGGTATGCAGGGATGGTTCAACATTCGCAAATCAATCAATGTGATTCACCACATTAACAGACTGATTTCCATAGTGGCTTGACCAGTTTGCATTCCCACCAACAGTGGGTTAGTGTCCCTTTTTCCCCACATCCTCGTCAGCATCTGTTGTTGGTAGATTTCTGTATGTGAGCCATTCTAACCGGGGTGAGGTGAAACCTCATTGTGCTTTTGATTTGCATTTCCCTGATTGCTAGTGACCTTGAACATAATCAAAGCAATTTATAAAAAACCCACAGCCAGCATCCTATTGAATGGGGAAAAGTTGGAAGCATTTCCACTGAAATCTGGCACGAGGCAGGGATGCCCACTCTCACCACTGCTATTTAACATAGTTCTGGAAGTTTTAGCCAGAGCCATCAGACAAGAAAAAGAAATCAAAGGAATACAAATCAAGAAGGAAGAAGTCAAACTATCCCTCTTTGCAGACGATATGATTCTGTACTTAGAGGATCCAAAGAACTCTACTAAGAGACTATTGGAACTCATAGAGGAGTTTGGCAAAGTGGCAGGATATAAAATCAATGCACAAAAATCAACAGCCTTTGTTTACACAAGCAATGCCACGGCAGAGAAAGAACTGATAAGATCAATCCCATTCACAATAGCTACAAAAACAATCAAATACCTTGGAATAAACTTAACCAAGGACGTTAAAGATCTCTACGATGAAAATTACAAAACCTTAAAGAAAGAAATAGAAGAGGATACCAAAAAATGGAAAAATCTTCCATGCTCATGGATTGGAAGAATCAACATCATCAAAATGTCCATTCTCCCAAAAGCAATTTATAGATTCAATGCAATCCCAATCAAGATACCAAAGACATTCTTCGCATATCTAGAAAAAATGATGCTGAAATTCATATGGAGGCACAAGAGACCTCGAATAGCTAAAGCAATCTTGTACAACAAAAACAAAGCTGGAGGCATCACAATACCAGATTTCAGGACATACTACAGGGCAGTTGTAATCAAAACAGCATGGTACTGGTACAGAAACAGATGGATAGACCAATGGAAAAGAATTGAAACACCTGAAATCAACCCAAACATCTACAGCCAACTTATATTTGATCAAGGATCCAAAACTAATTCCTGGAGCAAGGACAGTCTATTCAATAAATGGTGCTGGGAAAACTGGATTTCCACGTGCAGAAGCATGAAGCAAGACCCCTACCTTACACCTTACACGAAGATCCACTCAACGTGGATTAAAGACCTAAATCTACGTCCTGACACCATGAAGTTATTAGAGAACATTGGAGAAACCCTTCAAGATATTGGCACAGGCAAAGAATTTCTGGAAAAGACCCGGGAGGCACAGACAGTCAAAGCCAAAATCAACTATTGGGATTGCATCAAATTGATATATGTTTTGAACTTCCTGTGATCTTTTGCTGTGAGATTTCCTTCATTTACCTTCTTTCAAATCGATGTCCATGTTTCTGTGTTTCTGTGTGTAACACATCTTTAAGCATCTTTTGCAGGGCTTGATGAGTGGCGACAAATTCTTTCAATTTCTGTTTGTTGTGAAAGGTCTTTATTTCACCTTCATTCACAAATGAGAGCTTGGCAGGATATAATATTCTGGGCTGGCACTTTTTCTCTCTTAGTACCTGGGGTATATCTTGCCATTCCCTCATAGCTTGAAGGGTTTCTGATGAGAAGTCAGCTGTGAGTCTGATTGGAGATCCTCTGAGAGTAATCTGACGTTTCTCTCTTGCACATTTTAGGATCTTTTCTTTCTGTTTCACTGTGGTGAGTTTAATTACAACGTGCCATGGTGAGGATCTCTGTTGGTCATGTTTACTAGGGGTTCTGTGAGCTTCCTGTACTAGGATGTCTCTGTCCTTCTCCAAACCTGGGAAATTTTCTGCTGATATCTCACTATAAAGGCCTTCTAATCCTTTCTCCCTCTCCACGCCTTCAGGAACTCCTAGAACCTGAATGTTGGTTTTTTTAATAGTATCCTGAAGGTTCCTGACAATATTTTTTAGATTTCTAATTTCCTTTTCTTTAGTTTGATGTGTATTTTCCTGTGCTCTTTTTCTAAGTCTGATATTCTCTCTTCTGCTTCACCCATTCTGTTTTTAAGGCTCTCTAATGTATTTGTCATTTGATCTATTGAATTCTTCATTTCATTATGATTTCTCGTCACTATCAGAGTTTCATGTTCTACTAACTGTTTCATTTCATTTTGATTCCTCCTTAATATTTCATTTCACAAGAGAGATTTTCTATCTTGTCCATTAAGTATTTCTGTAGTTTGAGAATTTGTTTTTGAGAACTTCTTAATGTTCTTATCAATTTTTGAGATCTGCTTCTTGCATTTCTTCTATCTCATCATCTACATAATCTGAATTGGGGTGTCTATTTCATTTGGGGGCATCGTAGTGTCTTCCTTGTTCTTGTTACTTCGGCTTTTGCATTTGTTTGGCATATTGGGGATATTCTTTGGTTTTTTCTCATTATACTGTGACAGTAGATTAAGAGGACTGTCTGCTTTTGATGGATCCTTAGAGGCTCTGATGGGTGTGGCCAGAGACTTCTTAATTCAATTATGTTATCAGTAGCAACCATTTGGTTTCAATCTTTCCCAAGAGGAAATTTATATTGTTAGTCATTAGAAAGGTAAAGAAACAATGACTTAACTTATGCATAATGGGTTTGGGAATACCCACTAATGTATAAAAAAGTATGAAAAATGAATGAACATACACTTGAAGCCCATTGTGCAGCAGCATTTGCTTGTGTGCCCTCAGAATGTCTCTGAGATCACACCTGTTGAATATATGAAGAATGAGTATCTCCAGATAAAAATTGCCAGGGAGAATTATTTTAAAATGTTTCTGAATATTTTATGATTGAATGAGTACCACCTGCAAAAATTGTATAATACCTTTATGATAAAGGTAGCCAAATCAATACCATTTTCTGTATTTAACTGAAATGTCATTGAAGCAGAGAAATACCCATTCATTGACCTCTATTTAGGACTTCTTTCTTGTGTAATGGCACAAGAGTTTTTTCATGAGGGACAATGTGGTGTGCAGAGCTCAAAGTATTCCATTCCTTCCATGAGGCAGAAGGGTAACAAGCCCTTATTTCAGGTGAAATTGGAAAGTTTCAAAAACCTAATTTCTCCTTGAAAATTTTGTTGAAAAAATCAATTATACCCAAATGACTTATAATAAAGTCAAACACCTCCATAAAATCCAAATGTTTTAGATTTGATAAAATATATTTCAACCTTTGCATTGAATAACTGACAAAAATTGTCCCAGAGATATGAAAATATAAAACAAGGAAAGACTTTTTACCAGATATCAAATAGTATACAATGAAGAAATGCTAGATATTGATTGTTGTAAGGATTTCATAGGCATTTTGCATTTTTATTTCTCTGCAAGAGAAGGAAAGCTCTAAAGCTGATTATCCTAGGCAAATGTTCTAAGCCATGATGATGCAGGATTGAGCATGAGAAAGACTGGAGACAGCAGGGTGAGGAATTCAGAAGAATGCAAATGGACATCACTGTGCCACAGGATGAGCCACCCTAACCACTCATTTGCTAAAGATGCCATTTGAAATAGTTTGTTCCCATTTGTAGATGAGAATTCTCCCTGGGACAGGAATGTAGAAACTTGCTCTGGTGTGGCCTCATATTTTTAAGAAAACTTTTATTTAATAAATACAAATTTTGAAAGTACAATTTTTGGATTATAGCGGTTTCCCCCCATAACTACCACCCCATGCACAAACAATCCCATCTCCTACTCTTCCATCCCATTTTTCATTGATTCATTTTTAATTATCTTTATATGCAGAAGATCAGTTTAGTATAAACTAACTAAAGATTTCAACAGATTTCACCCACGCAGACACACAAATTATAAAGTACTGCTTGAAGACTAATTTTACCATTAATTATCATAGTACAACACATTAGGACAGAGATCCTACATGGGGAGTAAGTGCACAGTGACTCCTGTTGTTGATTTAATAATTGACACTCTTATTTATAATGTCAGTGATCAACCGAGGCTCTTGTCATGAGCAGCCAAGGCTATGGAAGCCTCTTGAGTTCACAAACTCCGACCTTATTTAGACAAGGTCGTAGTCATAATGGAAAGGCCTCCCTTCAGAGAAAGATACCTGCTTTGATGGCCTGTTCTTTCTGCTGGGATCTCACTCACAGAGATATTTCATTTAGGTCATTTTTTTACCACAGTGTCTTGGCTTTCGATGCCTGAGAAACTCTCATGGGCTTTTTATTCAGATTGGAATGCCTTAAGGAATGAATCTGAGGCCAGAGTGCTTTTTATGGCATTTGCCATTCTATGAGTCTGCTGTGTATCCCACTTCTAATGTTGGATCATTCTCTCCTGTTTAATGCTATCAATTATTATTCGCAGACAATGGTCTTATTTATGTGTCTCCTTTGATATTTAATCCTATTTTTATAATCAATTATGAATTAACTGATCACTTTAACTGGTAAATGGCATGGTTATCTGGGTGTGGCCTCATATTACATCAGAGTATTTTATACTCAAAGTGGCATTGCAAAGTAACCATTTTTCCCAACAGGGAAAATGTCAGAATTTCAGCAATGGAAACTCAGCCTTTCTTCTTCCACAGATGCAGAACAGTGTATCCAGTGTGCAGAGCATGAGTATCCGAACATGGAGAGAAGTCACTGCCTCCCCAAGCTAATGACCTTCTTAGCCTTTGAGGATGCCCTGGGGATGGCTCTGGTTTGCATGGCTCTGTGCTTCTCTGTAACCACAGCTGCAGTTTTGGGAGTCTTTGTGAAGCACCGAGACACTCCCATCGTCAAGGCCAATAACCGGTCTCTCAGCTACATCCTGCTCATCGCCCTCCTCCTGTGCTTCCTGTGCTCCTTACTCTTCATTGGCCGTCCCAACACAGCCACCTGCCTCCTCCGACAAATAACATTTGGTCTTGTGTTCACAGTGGCTATTTCTGCTGTGCTGGCCAAGACCATCACTGTGATTCTGGCTTTCAAGGTTATGAAACCTGGAAGAACAATGAGGCGATTGCTTGTATCCGGAGCTTCTAACTTCATCATTCCCATCTGTTCCTTGATCCAACTAGCTCTATGTGGCATCTGGTTGGGAATCTCTCCTCCATTTATTGAGTTAGATGCATATTCTGAGCATGGACACATCATCCTGGTGTGCAACAAGGGCTCAGTCACTGCCTTCTACTGTGTCCTGGGCTACCTGGGCTCCTTGGCCCTAGCGAGCTTCACTGTAGCTTTCCTAGCCAGGAATCTGCCTGATACATTCAATGAAGCCAAGTTCCTGACGTTCAGTATGCTGGTGTTCTGCAGTGTCTGGGTGACCTTCCTGCCTGTCTACCACAGCACCAAGGGGAAGGTCATGGTGGCTGTGGAGGTCTTTTCCATCTTGGCCTCCAGTGCAGGACTTCTGGGATGCATTTTTGCCCCCAAGTGCTACATTATTCTTATAAGGCCTGAAAAGAATTCTCTGAAAGGCTTAAAGAAAAGAGCAAGTTCTAAGGGATTCTAATATTTTTCTGCTTGTTTTGTTGTCACATTTTCAGAGTTTGGTGCCAAAAACCAAACTGATATAACATTCCGTATATATAAAATAACTAAAATCAACTTTTCCTTTGAAAATAACTTCTAGGTAGGACACTTAGCCTAGCAGATTACATGGGATCAGTTTCTGGCTCTGACACCTGGCCTGTACTTTTGACTCTTGGGGACCCTGGAAGGAAGTGGTGATGGATTATGGAACTTGGTTCTGTCCACCCATATGAGAATCCTGGTTTGACTCCCTATTTTGGGTCTAGCCACAGCCTAAGTATAGGCATTTGGGGTGTAGAAGCATGAGGTATAGAATGAGAGGTGTCTATGCCTCAGTAGTCACTAATGTTCTGGCAGCCAATATCATACTGAATGGAGAGAAGCTGACAGCATTTCCCCTCAGATCTTGAACACGATAGGCATGTCTACTTTCAACATTCTTATTCAGTACACAACTTGAAGTGTTGGCAGGAGCAATTAGGGAGGAGGAAGAAATAAAGGGCATCAAAATTGGAAAGGAAGGGGCCAGCACTGTGGCATAGCAGGTAAAGCCACCCCCTGCAGTACTGGCATTCCCATATGGCACTGGTTTGAGATCTGGCTGCTCCTCTTCCTATCCAGCTCTCTGCTATGGCCTGGGAAAGCAGTGGAAGATGGCCTAAGTTGTTGGGCCCCTACACCCATGTGGGAGACCTGGAAGAATCTCCTGGCTCCTGGCTTCAGATTGGTGTAGCTCTGGTCATTGATGCCATTTGGGGAGTGAACCAGCGGGTGGAAGATCTTTCTCTTTCTGACTCTCCTTCTTTCTTTGTGTGACTCTGACTTTAAAATAAATAAATAAATCTTGGGGCCGGTGCTGTGGTTCACTAGGTTAACACCCTGGCCTGAAGTGCTAGCATCCCATATGGGCACCTGTTTGAGTCCCAGCTATTCTACTTCCTATCCAGCTCTCTGCTATGGAATGGAAAAGCAGAAGTCCTTGGGCCCCTGCACCCACATGGGAGACCCAGAAGAAGATCCTGGCTCCTGGCTTCATATAGGCACAACTCTGGCCATTGTGCCAACTGGGGAGTGAACCATTGAGTGGAAGACCCCCTCACCCTCCACCTCTCCTCTCTCTGTGTAACTCTAACTTTCAAATAAATTAAATACATCTTTAAAATAAATAAATAAATAAATGAATCTTTAAAAAAATTGGAAAGGAGGAGGTCAAACCATCTGTTTGCAAATGACATGACATTGTACATGGAAAATCCTAATGCTCCACCAGAAAGCTGTAGAACTGATAAACCAATTCAGTAAAATTGCATGTTACAAATAAACACCAAAACGCCCATGGGCTCTTTAACACCCTAATGATGAACTCATCGATAAAGAAATCAAGAAAGAAATCTCATTCATAATATCCACAAAACAATCCAATACTTTGGAATAAATTTAACCAAAGAAATGCAAGATCTCTACAATGAAAGTTATGAAACATTGATGAAAGAAATCATCAAGGACACAAAAATATAGAAAGATAATTCCTTGTTCATGAAATCAGTATCTTTAAAATATCTATAGTAACTAAATAAATCTACACATTCTGTACAAAACCTGCCAAAGTACTAAGGGCATTCTTCACAGAGGTAGAAAGAGCAATCTTAAAATTCATATCGAGGAAGAGATTGATGGCGGAATAGTGAGGGCGCGCACCGATAGCCCGGGAAAATTTAGTTTAATAAAAGGGGAGTTACGGTAGCCTCAGAAAAAAGAACCAGGAAAATATTGCAGAGGAAACTCTTCTGGATCAAGTAGCCGTGAATCGGAGGACCTACTGGGAGAACAAGGTCGCCCACCGCACGGAAGCCGAGCCGCGGGACCGAGCTGCCCAAGTCGCAGGGTCTGCGCGCCAGTTCTCGAAGGAGAGTGCGTGCCACACAGACAACAGCGGGGAGACTTGGGACGTCCAGGGCTCCGAGTCCACACATTGGCGCTGGAAGGGGAGCGGACCTGCGTGGAGAGCATGGGAGCCCACAGTTCGGGACACCAGCGGCAGACTCAACACACCAGTGCTGGAACGCGAGGTGAGCTGAACCTCAATAGCCCGAGACACCGGCAGGCAAGCGGAGAGAGGAGACTAGAGGGAACGACCCCCGGGGGGGGAAACTTCACCAGGCTAACTGGAAGAGAGAGAGAGGAAAAAAAAAAGGTGACTGGTACGGACACGGGTTTCTCTCTCTCCACTCACCTCTCAAGGGCGAGCAAGACAAAGAGCAGGTGCCATCTTGGACATACGTCATAAGCAGAGTGACCTCAGGTCTGCACCGGCCCTGAGCCTAGCAGAAAAACCTGACTCTGGGCGGGGCAAATTAACAGGAGATTAGGACCTAGTAAATTTGTGGTGCTACTGAACTGAGACTGTGAAAAAAGAGACGGTGGGGGAGAGAACTCACGAAATTCACATGAGCACTCTCCAGAGACGCTACAATTCCGTAACTTTGGCAACCTAGTGGGAGACTGAAGGAGAATTTGAGCCCACTCTGAGGGCCGAACAGATTTCCTGTGTGGTCCTTGGGAAAGAGCTTCTGATCTCTGCCTCCTGTGGGTATATCATTTGCCTGCGAACTACCTCCAACTTCGTTCAGCTGTGCAGAATAACTTCCCTTTTGAATCAAAAAAAAGAAACAGAGAGAGAGAGGTTTACCACGCCTAACCTGGGAGTGTCACCTTTGGCACACCAAACAGAGCTCTCAGGCCACACCCATCTCAAGCCCTAAGGCTCCATCAAAAACAGATAGTCCACTTAATCTAGAGTCATAGTATAACAAGAAAAAGCACCACAGTGAAGAAACCAAATATCTCCAATATGACAAATAACAAACGCAAAAACCAAGGTAAAAAAAACAAGGAAGTCACCATGAAGCCCTCAAATGAAAAAGACACCCCAATTCAAGATTATGAGGATGATGACATAGAAGAAATGCAAGAAGCAGATCTCAAAAATTGATAAGAACATTAAGAAGTTCTCAAAAACAAATTCTTGAACTACAGAAATCCTTAATGGACAAGATAGAAAATCTCTCTTGTGAAAATGAAATATTAAGGAGGAATCAAAATGAAATGAAACAACTAGTACAACAGGAAACTGGGATAGTGACTGAAGTGAAGAATTCAATAGATCAAATGAAAAACACAATAGAGAGCCTTACAAACAGAATGGGTGAAGCAGAAGAGAGAATATCGGACTTAGAAGACAGAGAACAGGAAAGGATACAGTAAGACCAAAGAAAAGACGAGGAAATTAGAAATCTAAAACATATTGTCGGGAATCTTCAGGATACTATTAAAAAAACCAACATTCGGGTTCTAGGAGTTCCTGAAGGCATGGAGAGGGAGAAAGGATTAGAAGGCCTTTTTAGTGAGATATTAGCAGAAAATTTCCCAGGTTTGGAGAAGGACAGAGAAATCCTAGTACAGGAAGCCCACAGAACCCCTAATAAACACGACCAAAAGAGATCCTCACCACGACACGTTGCAATTAAACTCTCCATAGTGAAACATAAAGAAAAGATCCTAAAATGTGCAAGAGAGAAACGTCAGATTACTCTCAGAGGATCTCCAATCAGACTCACAGCTGACTTCTCATCAGAAACTCTACAAGCTAGGAGGGAATGGCGAGATATAGCCCAGGTACTAAGAGAGAAAATCTGCCAGCCCAGAATATTATATCCTGCCAAGCTCTCATTTGTGAATGAAGGTGAAATAAAGACTTTTCATAACAAACAGAAATTGAAAGAATTGGTTGCCACTCGTCCAGCCCTGCAAAAGATGCTTAAAGATGTGTTACACACAGAAACACAGAAACACGGTCATCAATATGAAAGAAGGTAAAGGAAGGAAACCAAGGAAGGAAAGCTCACAGCAAAAGATCACAGGGAATTCAAAGCATATATTAGAACTTATCTTTGGCAAATGGCAGGGCAAAGTTACCACTTATCATTAGTCACATTGAACGTGAATGGCCTGAACTGTCCAGTTAAAAGACACAGATTGGCTGATTGGGTTAAGGAACAAAACCCATCTATTTGCTGCTTACAAGAAACACATCTTTCCAACAAAGATCCATACAGACTGAAAGTGAAAGGCTGGAAAAGATATACCATGCCAACAGAAATGAAAAAAGAGCGGGCGTAGCCATCTTAATATCACACAACATAAACTTTACCACAAAAACCGTTAAGAGAGACAAAGAGGGACACTACATAATGATTAAGGGATCAATTCAACAGGAAGATATAACAATTATCAATGTATATGCACCTAACTACAGGGCACCGGTTTATCTAAAAGATTTGTTAACGGACTTAAAGGGAGACTTAGACCCCAATACAATAGTACTGGGGGACTTCAATACTCCACTCTCAGAAATAGACAGATCAATAGGAAAGAAGATCAACAAGGATACAGTAGATTTAAACGACACTATAGCCCAAATGGATCTAACAGATATATACAGAACTTTCAATCCTACAGCTAAAGATTTTACATTCTTCTCAGCAGTACATGGAACCTTCTCTAGGATTGACCACATACTAGGCCATAAAGCAAGTCTCAGCAAATTCAAATAATTAGAATCTGATATTAAGATGGCTACGCCTGCTCTTTTTTCATTTCTGTTGGCATGGTGATCCAACATGGGAAGTGAGATACTCAGCAGACTCATAGAATGGCAGATGCCCTAAATAGCACTCTGGCCTCAGAATCAGCCCTAAAGGCACTCGGATCTGGCTGAAAAGCCCATGAGAGTATTTCAGGCATGGAAAGCCAAGACACTCTGGCAAAAGATCTCTGTGAGTGAGATCTCAGTGGAAAGAACAGGTCTTCAAAGAAGGAGGTACCTTTCTCTGAAGGGAGGAGAGAACCTCCACTTTGACTATGACCTTGTCTAAACAAGATAAGAGTCGGAGAACTCAAGGGGCTTCCATAGCCTTGGAA